GTGATAGAATACAGATCGCAGACGCATATATAGACATCCAGGCAGAGAGAGTTAGCACAGAGACATGCAGAGAGAGACACATATGGGACACAGTGAAACAGTGTCTCTGTGCTGAAGCCTTAAATAGAGGGAAGGGGGGGGGCGGGGACTGAGAGATAAAGGGATACAAATTAGCATGTACACAGGGACTGACTCGGAGAGAGACAAGACACATACACGGAGACACAAAGGCAGAATAACACTGCCCTGAGAGGATTTAAAAAATATATATATTATATATGTGTATAAAATATATAACAGGTGACATTTTGGATAATGGCCCTGCTAATAAGATGGCATATTTCACAAAATGCCATAGATTTAATTTAAATTGACTCGTGGCAACATGTTATTATCATGCCATTGCAACGTTTCTTAAACTCACAAAGTTTCAGATGATTAATTGTTCAGTGAATGTTATGTCTCGTGAATGTCCGACTGTCCTTCGAGCAGTAAAATGTTGCCACAATTGTTCATCATGTGACAACTCTCTTTGTTGAGCTGTGTCTGGTGGAGGAGGGTTATACGATACACATTTTACTCACCCAAACATTTTTCAATTTCAGAATCATAGTATTGGTCACGAAAGCCTGCACACGTTACATTTGCGTCGCGTGTGATTGCGCTCACACTTTTATTTGTTACTCAGTTTCATCAATTGGTTATTGCAGCACTTTGTGACGCTCAGAATCACGGAAATTATACGCTGCGTGCACACGGACCTTGACGTTGTTACAGAACGAAGTCAAATTCATTCGGTCTTGGCGGCTCATTCGTAGAGAAACCCCGTTACCCCATGACAAAGGCAATGCTACTGTTATCATGGATAAAATAGAATACAACAACAAAATTAAAGAATTACTCGACGATGGTAGTTATACAAAAATAAAAAGAGATCCCACCAACAGCCTCGTCACACAAACCAACAAAATAATTTCTGATTCAACCACATTAATTGATCAATCTAAACAGTTTTCGTTGAAACCTTCTGCTGCCAGGCCACCAAGATTATACGGCTTACCAAAAATACATAAAGTTGATACACCTCTTCGTCCCATAGTCTCTACTATCAGCTCCCCCACCTACAAACTAGCTCGTTTTTTGTCTGAAATCCTGCGTCCTTTCACTGGAAAGACCACCTCTGCGGTACAAAATTCTACTCACCTGGTATCAACAATCAAGGGTATTTCCCTGTCCCCAGACGACCTGCTTGTCAGTTTTGATGTAGTTTCCTTATTCACCAAGGTTCCTGTACCTGACACCATTGCAATCATTGAAGACTTGGTTCATCAAGGACTAAACACTGAGGTACCCCCCCTGGTGAGACACTGTTTAACCAATACATACTTCACTTGGAATGGAACTTTCTACAAACAAACTGAGGGCACCCCAATGGGCTCCCCCCTTTCTCCAGTTATAGCTAACATTTTCATGGAGAAATTTGAGACTGACGCCATCCAGACTGCCACTCTGCGCCCAACCTTATGGAAGAGGTACGTGGATGACACTTTTGTCATCTGGCCACATGGCCGGCCTGCTCTAGACAAATTCTTCGACCACATCAATTCCATACACCCAGCCATCAGATTTACCATGGAAGTCGAAATAGATGGCAAGATACCTTTTTTGGATGTCCTAATTAAAAAGAGACCTGATGGTTCAATGAGCCATTCTGTCTACAGGAAAGCTACCCATACGGATGCTTATCTGAAACCGGATTCCCACCACCATCCATCACAGAAGAATTCTCTCATCAAGACTCTGTATCATAGAGCCCAATGCATATCCGACCAGGAACACATAAGCAGTGAACTCAAGCACGTACACCAAGCTCTTAGGGCTAATGGTTACTCCGACTATACAATCCGCAAAGCTATCACTCAAACCATGAAGAAGAACCCTCTTGAGGAGCCTTTCAAAACCATCACTTTACCCTACATTGCTGGGATCACAAAAAAGATCTCCAAAATCTTGAATAAACACAAGATCCAGGTCCGTTTCAACACATTACATAAAATCCGTGATCTGGTTCCGTCTGTAAAAGATGTGATTCCGGACATACAATACCCTGGTGTCTACAAACTAAGTTGCCTCTGTGGTAGTAGTTACATTGGAGAAACCAAACGCCATATCTCGGACCGCATTCGTGAACATAAAGCAGACCTTAAACACGGTAGGACCAACACCTCGGCCGTAGCAGATCATTGTTCTAATTCAGTAGGCTCACATGCCATTGACTTTTCCAAGACGGAGGTTCTTTGTAAGCCATCTGGCTTCCATGAGAGATTCGTTCATGAGGCTATCCACATATACAAACACAGAGACAATTTCAACCGAGAAGATGGATTCTATCTTAGCAATCATTGGAAAGATTTGATAAATCATTTCAGTTCTTGATTGATTGTTCACGCTTACAGTGCCTTTCAGACAGCATACATAAAAACAAATTTCGTCTCCCCCCTCCTCTTTTCAAAAAATAGATGGACTAGTCCTGGCAAACTGCCATCGTTGCGCGTGACGCAAACGTTATTTTTTATATATATAAATAAATATGCCGTTTTCAAAATAAATTTATGCAAACCGACACACCTGATGATGACCGTTTGAGTTATGGTCGAAACGTCGTGAGAATTTTTTTTATTGTTTTATATATATTTTGTTATTTTGTTGTTTCTCTTCAACGTGACTTTACCGAAAAAACTAAGAATATCATTAAACCCTGTTCAAAATCACGAAACCAACCGCTTTTTTGATTAGCCATGCAGAACATGATACGGTAATTAAAGCAATTATATGTGTTTTTGTACGGGTGACTTTAGTTAAAACGCCATTATTTAAAATCAGAAATCCAGTAATAACAAGGAACAAATGGAATTATGAGCGCAAAGCAAAAGTGTCTAATCTGCTATTTTTACCTCTCCCCCCCCCCCCATCTGCAAAGCTTTTAGGTGAAATTGGAAACTATACATGATTTAGGTTATGTGTATGTGAGATCAGAGGGAAAAAAACACGATGAGGTTGATTTCACAATTTCTTGGTAAGGCGAAGAAAGCGTGAAGTTCACTGTGCCTGCAGTCTGCTGTATTGATTTCGCCATCAATTACGTGAATGTTTGAGTGGAATTTAAACCTCCTTGTGTTTTGAAAGTCCAGTGGGGAAAACCAAGTCGAGATGCAATTGAAAAGAATAAATAATGAACAGCTTAAGTGGGGCTTGATCGAGTTTTATTGACCGCTACATAAACTTGATTTATTTGTGTTTTGCTGCACTCAACATTAAGCTTATATATAATGTGCCTTTACAACGTGCCTGCTGTCGAAGCATATCAGGATTCTTTGCTAATTAAAACATTACAATGGATTGTAGGGTAGAAATTACGGCAAAGTGACAACATGCAGATTTAAAGAACCTCATTTAATTTTCAGCAAAAAGCATACGTGTCCGATAGGCTTATAAATAATGATTACAAAATTGGATCATAAAATCCAACACACTTTGCTCCAGGCTCACGATATACTACGTTTACAGGCGCAGTTATTTGGCAGCAACGATCATGGAAAAAAACATTGCGGGTTCGTGATGAACGGTGGTGGCTTGATGAGGCCTCTATCCAGCAGTGGATTGATCATGGCTGATGATGACAATGTTGAATAAATGTAATTATATTGTTCGGGATTGCTCCGTCAAATGAATACAATTTGCGTAACTTTTCTTCCCATTCCCAAAACTTTTTTGCTTCTCCTTGCTTATGTTCAAAGTCAACTTTCACACTGATGACCCTAACCCAGTGGCATGAATTCCATATTGCCATGGCAGAAACAAGTCTATCCTTAAAGTGACAACTGGTGACTCTCCACACAGGCTGATTCAGCATTTGCTTAGGTTTTTAACGAGAGAGTTTTTTTTCTCTCTCAAAACTTTTATCCGGATCGTGCTACCAGCGTGATGTCATGTCGAGTTGAAGAATCCATTCAGAACACCCGCGCACAGTTGTGAACACTCTCCATGTTAAAGAACAACGCCGCGGAAGTAGATACAACAGAACTACTTCTGACATCCGCTCAAATGACCTCTTATCCAAACAAAAGGGGGACGGATGGGCAAGCACTCTACCTCCCGACCTGCTATGAATTACAGTAATGTTTGTCGCGTGGTGGTCAAACATATTTGTCATTCGAGCAGCTGCAGTTTTGCCATATTAAATGAAACTCCAAATTGAATATGATGTGGTGAGTTTTTTTTGGTGTTGATGCAGTAATTAGTGACGGGGCTGAGATCGTCAACTCGCTACAATTGTAACCCCGGTTTAAACACGGGTGGCTGAAACCCAGGTTCCAAAGCAGAGGTCTCAGCGGTGCCAGCTCTGACCTCTAAGCCACCTCGAGCCAAGAGCTCGAGTTACAAGTTTCAGCGTTACTCATGGCTCTTTAGCAACGTTTATGGCTCCAAATGTGAGTGTAATGAATTATGTATGCGTGCCTTAAAAAAAAGCGCGTGCTCCATTTCCAGGAACACTGAGTTAGGCGTGTACACTATAGAAACTTGAATACACTTAGTGAGCGATGCACCACTATATACAGTATAAATATGTTGAATATCTATGGTAGATATATTGAAGATGAGTGTCCATTTAAAATGGAGACACTATTGAAAACATAGCACTTAATCACAGTTTATTATATCCCTTTACACAGCGGCTATGAATTTGTCAAACTATAAACTATTTTAAACTATAAACTATTTTTTATTATACCAGGTAAGACCCACGGAGCTCTGTAGCTCTTTTTCAGCAGCGACTGGGCCACAGATCATAGCTCAACGATGTGGCTTATCGTGTGGAAATGCCTAGCAGCCAAATACTCTAAACGCGTGATGTTGATTCTGGATGTGGAGGGTAAACCGGAGGACCCTGAGAAAAAAATCCACGCGACCACGGGGGGAGAAAGACATGCAAACTCCAAATATACTGGCGTCAGGGTTGGGACGGAACCCACGTCCTCCTGCATGCCAGGCGAGGTAGTTAACAGGCCCAGCCGACATAAGACGTTCAAATTAAAGTCGTCTTTCATGACATTAACGGCGTATTCACAAAGCAACAGCCGCAACAAAAACAATCTCCGGCTTAAGGCCGCGTCACATCCTCTTTCTCACAGTCACGGTCCTCCAGGGTCGGGGGGGAGAAATAATGACCGCAGTTAACTTTTTTTCCCCTCGCGATTTCAACAGAGATGCAGATAACCTCCGCCTTTTCCGACAGCAGCGTACGAACCGCCATTCTCTCTTGAGAAATCAATGCAAGGCACGCGTCCTTCCCCGTCGTGTAGTGACACGCAGCGACGACTTTCTGGTGGGTGTGATGCGTTCACTTAGAGAGAGAGAGAGGAACAAAAATATAATATATTATACACGTTCGGATTTTTTTTTTGTCAAGTGTCCCCAAATCTGTACCCCCGCCCTAAACCACATGTGTTGTGAGCTCGCCTTATCCCGTGGGTTGTTCATAATGAGGGTGATTCACTCTGTCACTTGGTTCCAGCTCTAGTGCAGGGCACACAGGAAGGCTTTCATTTCTAGCCGAGTCGCCCTGTGCGAAGGCAAACCTTGAGCTTGTGTGAGGGATTTCTGTGACGGCAGCAGTGGCAGCGGGCCTGGCCGAAGCTTTCTGAGCCCTTGCCCTCTTTTCTCAGCTGTCGCCTGCCACCGTTTCACGCGCTCAAGGGGAACTGCTTGAGTTTGCAAGGCGGGTGAGTTGAGCGTTTGCATTGTTTGTATGTCTGCAGGGTTATTGAGTGGTCAGCTTAGAACCAAAATGTCAGACGCGCTTAGTGCCACGTGTGTACAGTACTTGTGAATGGTTTTGTTTAGTTCGATTGCTGTTGTTCTTTATGTTCGAATTTTTTTTTGTAGTCGGCGAATGACTTTCATATTTTTTTCCGCTCACGATTTTTTTGTTTTCACCATGAACATTTCATTCTCAGCGAGCTTCTTTCCTGAGTTAACGTCGCGCGGTTACGGTTGAACTAATATTCCACCGGCGCAATACAATTCTGCCTCGGTGCGTGTTTAATATGAACCCGAGCTTTTGTCATTGTTGCCCCATGCTTCACGCTTACGTTCTGCAAGACCAAAACGCGTTGTTTAATCCGAGCAACTTCCTGCATGATCGTTTTTGCGTAAGAAAAAAAAAACACCCTTTAAAAAATACGAACCATTCTCGCGAACCCAACTGAGCTAATTCATTGTCGTTCCAACAAAAGCGCCCTCCTGTTTCCCCCAGTGCGAGATCCTTCACCGCATCGCTTCTCGTTTGAGCAGAAGCGAGCTTTGCCTGTCCGCATGTCTCCCGGACCTCGCCATCATAAATCTCGTTGGCCAATCAGCGGCGCCGCGAGTGAAAAACAGATGTGAAGCAGAGCTCTCCTGCAGAGAGCACGTCGGGAGCAGGGCCGTCTGTCGGCTCGGTTTGCTTCTTGGCGGACTCGCGCAGTCTTGCACGCACCCTGTTGCGCCAACCACACCGCCGTGGATTTATGCCGCAGTTGCTTCGGACGTGACTGTCATGCGCACATGGCTGTCAAGAGTATGGTTGGCAGTTTCTCTCTCTCTCAAAAAAATCATGTTTGTTTAAAGGATAGTTTATTTGATAGTTCACTTACAAAAAGAGTCAAAACGTCAGCGTGTACTTCGCCCGGTTGAAGGAGTTGGGCGGTCGGGTGGAGCTCACTTCTGATTGGGGCCCCCGAGCCAACAGGAGAAATTCCACGTTGCCGTGGCGGGAGCCAGTGCATCCGCAGGATAACCGCTGCTGACTTCCTTTCAGTTGTGAGTTCGCACAATACGATTGGATGTTGAATTATCTTAAGTATGGAATGTAAAAAAAAAAGTTATGAAGAAAATTATTTTCTATGAAAAACATATTTTTAACTTTGATTAATTGGATTTCATGGCCAGCTAGAAGCCTTTCCAACAACATTTCAGGATGCATTGTTTTGCAAGCGCCCTGTCACCAACATTCCATTCCTTGTACCTTATTTGTTTTTCTCCATGAAATATTAAGCAAAATAAATATCAGTAATCGCTCAATACCTTTGAGTTTTTCAAATGCGTTACTATTTTTTATGGCCACAGGCAAAGAATTTCCAGCCACTGCATTTGTACGCATGTATGCACTTGTGAGCATTGGCATGTTGGAACAGTTTGTACAGCCACGGTGGCGAGATGTTAAATACCTCGCCGGGGATGCAGGAAGTCGTGGGTTCAATCCCGACCCTGGCGCTTGTATATTTGGAGTTAGCATGTTCTCCCCGTGATCGTGGGGATTTTTCTCCGGGTCCTCCGGCTTTCTCCTCCACATTTAGAAACATTGCGTTTCGAGTATTTGGCTCTAATACATTTCCACATCATAAACCACTTCGTTGAGCCACCAATTTTGACCAGGTCACTTCTGCAAAAAGACTATATAGCTCAGTGGGCCTTACCTGGTAAAATAAAAACAAGTTTCAATATTTCGATTTAAAGCTTTCGTGACTGCAGGGATTCATATTCTTGCTTCTTTCGGTAAAGTCACGTAGAAGGGAAATAATAGCTCTGTTCTTCACCTGAGGACGGCTGCTTGCTTTGTGGCCGAAACGTCGTGAGAATTTAATTTGATTATGTTTATTTTTATTATTTTATTATTTCCCTTCTACGTGACTTTACCAAAAGAACCAAGAATAAGTTTCAATAGTTATTAATTTAGTTTATTTTGTACAGCCACACACTCACTTTCACATATGTCATAAGCCCTGATCTCTACATGTCCATTTGTTTATTGATAGACATCATAATAATCGAACAACTCTAATCATCAACATGAATTTTTGTTAAGGAGTCACAATAACCCAATGTAAAAGCTTAATGAAACATCAGCAACCAATGCTTGCTTTATACACGGCTGTGTGCTGCTGGTGTTGTTACAGCGCTTGACCCACAATTCGGAAGGTTAAAACCCCCTTTCAGGGCTCACCTCTCTCTGTCCATTACCTTTATAGGTTCAGTAAAATGAGTAACACTCCGTGTGGGAACTCCACGATGCATTTTCCAAGGAGAAAACGGACCGTAGTAGGAATGTGGACTTTTTTTTCAAACTTTGGCTTATCGCTGCTGCGAATGGCAAGGAACAAACCAAAATGTTTGTTTGAGCAGGAAGACATAAACAACTTATTTTGAGCATGTTATTTGTTTTGAAAGCAGCGTGTCATATGCCACAAAATATGGGTTACGTATTGCTTTATTTAGCAGACCAGTGATTGGTACGTAGGTGTTCCTGGTTGTGCTGCTGAGCTCTCTGCTGCATTTTCTGCTTGTGCCACATGTTGTATATCACAATGTCCGACGCTTCACTCCATCCACTAAAGTGGCTCCCTTTACATTGAACCATACGCTGGACTTCATAATATACAACACGTGGCACAGCATGAAAACACATTGGGGAACTGAATGTTAAGGTCCATCATATAAACCAGACTTGGGAGCCACCTTGGTGTAGAACCTAACGCACACCCGATCGGCAATCCAAGAGTACCTGGATCTGATTTACAGATAAGGATTTGAATTCTTGGCCAAATTATTTTGTACACTCTGATACTATATTTCACATTTCCTCTGCACGTTTATGATGCCACATTGGCACAATGCTCGTGGTGGTGGGGCCAAGTAGTAGGTAGCCCTAGCTCTTCGAACTCGTCCGATGCTACGGGAAGCAAGGGTCCGGCGAAACTCGGTGGCAGGGTCACTGGGCGGTGGTCTGCTTTGCTTTGCAAAATTCGGCTCACTGTTTAAAGGGGGGGGGGGGGGGGGATGGCGAAGTAGCGGTGCGATCAACCGTGGGCAATCGTGCTGTGTTTGAATCTAGCTCTTGTTGTCCCGATGTGGAAAGGGCCACCACGTTTGAGGAGTCGTTTGTTGCCAGGGCGCGTTTGCCGTTGCCTTTGCCAAACGCAACAAAAAACAAACAAACAACCCAACCACGTTGACGACCTCAATAGTGGCCAGCAGACTTTGACCGTCCTTATCACTGCCACGCCAATCGCGAGTTCCATTAAACGTCGATTCCAAAGTCTCACTTTGCAGGCTTTGAAAACTGCACACTTTTGTATATTTTTTAAGAATCATCTCCAATTTGTTGATGGTGTTTCACCGGGGTTTTTTGTTTTTTGTTCGTCACACCACGCCGATGCAATTCGAGTTTAAATCTACGGTTACCATAAATTTGCGTTGCACAATTTCTGCCGAACTATCCGTATTTGTTCATAAACACTGAGCAGTTTGTACATTCAAAGGTGGGGGTTTGGGGAGGGGGGATGCTGTTGTCGGCTATCACTTGTATGCACACGCCGGTGTAAAATTTGGCAGCAAACGGTCGCAAAATCCTCCTTTAAACCCCGTTGCCCTTAATTGGAAATTTGTGCCACGCGCGAAATTCACGCTCCGAGGTGGGAGCAAGCCTGCACAGAGGGATCCCCGAGGTTCTGGCACTCGCGTCCTGTGCCCGTAAGTGACTGTGGTTTAGTTTGTGTTTGCCGTTCCATCCATTGTGTGTATAATTACATATATCTCGGTGACGCAAGCCTTGCTCTTTATTTGCGAAACTCTCCCGACACGTTTTTCGGGTCGGGCCGCGCGTTTGTTCGGCCTTTGAAGAGGCCTTGTCCGACAATTCGCTCGGGGGGGGGGGGGGAGCGGGGGGGGGGAGCGGGGGGGGGGAGCGGGGGGGGGGAGCGGGGGGGGGGAGCGGGGGGGGGGAGCGGGGGGGGGGGAGCGGGGGGGGGGAGCGGGGGGGGGGGGGGGGGGGGGGAGCGGGGGGGGGGGGGGGGGGGGGGGGGGGGAGCGAGGGCTTATTTAGGAGCTGAATTGGGGTAGGTCGGGTGGAACTAAAGAAGCTCCCCCAGCACTCGGAACGAAACGTCGGACATCGTGCTGAACAGCACCGCGGTACGACCGGAAACGCGTCGGAGAGCCATGCAGCGCACCCGCGAAAACCCCTCCACGCGGTGACCTTAATGTGTACCTGCCAAAAGAGCCCCGTAGCGTTAGGGTGGTGTTTGGAGTGGTGACTGGTGTATTTCAAACCGTTCACCTTTGCGTTGCCATCTCTTTTCTGATCATGCTTTTTATTCTTCTGAAAATCCTTTGCGATGAATGTGATGCGCCTGTTACTGAACACATCCTGCGCAACTTAATCGAAGCGAATTTGCTTCCGTTGTGATTGTTTTGACATTCCATCTCAATGACCTTAACAATCCTTTGCAAAACTTGTCAAGGCCTCCATGAAGTTGACTCAGTCTGAAATGACTTGCAAAATGCTGCCCCCCGACCCTACTCTTTGTTTTTCTTGCTTACCAAAAAAAAGTTTATGGAATTTCTGATTCACTTCCATCGAAGCTATAGATATGAAGGTTATGCCATTCACTTCTGCTGGCAACACAAACGTCTTCATGGCAGGCATGATTGATAGGTCTTAAAAAAGTACAACTGTCGGCAACGATTGTAATGTTTAGCATGAATTCGTCTCGAGCGTGAGCAGAGTATTGTGGTATAGTTTGTGTTGGAAACTTTCGAGTTACGGGAAGGTTAAAAAAGAGTGGGTTGTTATGGATAAACTGTCCGCCATTGGCTCAGGGCCCCCAGTGGAGATGAGTGCCGCTCCATTGCTTATCTTACCAGAGCCATTTTCACTTTAGATTGACCAAGTCGTGAATGATCC